TTTAAATTTAAAAAGGAGGGAAAAGACCCAGCTATACTACCCCTGGGCATACACACAAAGGCTGATCCACCACCACGAAGACACTTGCTCCATTAAGTTCATAGCAGCTTTATTCAGAGTACTAAAACCTGGAAACAACCTCTATGTCCCCTCAACTGAAGAATAGGTAAAAAAAATGTGATATATTTACATAATGGAGTATTACTCAGCTGTTAAAAACAACAGCATTAAGAAATGTGCAGATAAGTGGATGGAACTAGAAAACAAAACAAAAACAAAAAAAAAAAAAAAAAAAAAAAAAACATCCTGAGTGAGATAACATCCAAAAAGACAAGCATGATAGGTACTCACTTATAAATGGATATTCACTGTGAAGTAAAGGATAACCATGATACAATGCACAGACCCAGAGAGGCTGGGTAACAAGGAGGACTGAAGGAGGGGATGCTTGGATCTCCCTGGGGAGAACTAATCGTGGATGGACGGACGGGGTGGGTGGGATGGGCGCATGAGGATCAGGGAGCAAGGGGTGGATACTGAAAGATACGACTGGAAAAGAGGGGCATTTAGGGGTGAGGGTAGGAACCTAGTGCAAGGGAAACTCCCAGGAATTGACAAAGACTTCTAGCAATAGTGGAAAGGTTGACTGTACCTGCCCATCTGCTATGACTAAACAAGACTTCCTGTGGAGGGATTGGGACACCAACCCAGCCACATGACCTTAGACCTACAGTCTGACCTGTCTATGGCATGTGCTGGGGTAAGGGTGGCGCAGAGATTGTGGGAGTGGCCAACCAGTAACTGGTCCAGCCTGAGACACATGCCAGAAGAGTGAACCCACCCCTGACATTGCCTAGAGTGCCAAGACCCAGAGACTGAAGTCCCAGAGACCTAGGATAGAAGCAAACAGGACTAGGGAAGAAAAAAAAAAAAAAAAGGCAATGTAATGATGCCTAACAATATTCTGCTATACTCATAGATTGGTGCTCAGACCAACAGTCATCAGAGAGGCTTCATTCAACAACTGATGGAAACAGATGCAGACCCACAGGCAAACAGTGTCAGAGCTTTGGGAATCATGCATAAGGGGGCAGGAGGGAGGAGAAAAGATTATAGGAAACAGAGGGATCAAAGACATCTCAAGGAAATTCACAGAATCAACTAACCTAGGCTCATCAGAACTCACGGACACTGAACCGACAACCAGAGAGCCTGCATGGGACTGACCTAGGTCCTCTACATGCGTGTGACAGTTGTGTAGCTTCCTCTTCTTGTGGGACTAACAGGGGTAGCAAGGGCTGTCACTGACTCTTTTGACCACTTTTGGGACCCTACTCCTTATACTAGGTTGCCTAGTCCAGCCTTAAAACAAAGGAAGGTGCTGAGTCTTACTGCAACTGTATGTCATGTTTGGTTGCTGTCTATGGGAGGCCTGTGCCTTCCTGAATAGAAACAGAAGAAGGGTGGATGGGGTTGGGGGCAGAGAAGTAGAGGATGGATTGAGAGGAGAAGAGGGTGGAGAAACTCCAGTCAGGACAAGAAAGAAAAGAAAGATAGTATCTTAAAGTTTCTATAGCTGTGATGAAACACCATGCCCGTAAAGCATGTTGGAGAGGAAAGGTTTATACTTAAACATTACTGTTTCATCAGTGAAAGAAATCAGGAACTCAATCAGTACAGAAACCTGGAGGCAGGAGCTCAAGCAGAGGCCATGGAGGGTGCTGCTTACTGGCTTGCTCCTCATGACTTGCTCAGCCTGCTTTCTCTCCCTCTCTCCCTCCTCTTCCCCTTCCTCCCTTCTCTTTCTTTCCTTCCCCTCCCTCCCTCTCCTTCTCTTCCTTTCCCCTCCCTCCCTTCCCCTCCCCCACCTTCCTTTCCCTTCCCCTCCCTCCCTTCCCTTCCTTCCTCAGATTTATGTGTACAATGTTCTGCCAGAAGAGGGCATCAGATCTCATTACAGATGGTTGTGAGTCATCACGTGGTTGCTGGAAATTGAACTCAGGACTTTTAGAAGACCCGCTAATGTTCTTTTTTTTTGTTTTTTCCAGACCGGATTTCTCTGTGGTCTTGGAGGCTGTCCTGGAACTAGCTCTTGTAGACCAGGCTGGTCTCAAACTCCCAGAGATCTGCCTGCCTCTGCCTCCCGAGTGCTAGGATTAAAGGCATGAGCCACCACAGCCTGGCCAGCTAATATTCTTAACCACTGAGCATCTCTCCAGCCCCCAAGCCTGCTTCCTTATAGAACCCAGGACCAGCAGCCCAGGGACGGCTCCACCCACCATGTGCCGAGTCCTCCCCATTGATCAGTCAGTGAGAAAATGTATTACAGCTGGATCGATCTCAAGGATGCATTTCCTCAGCTGAGGCTCCTTCCTTCTAATGACTAGCTTGGGTCAAGTTGACATATAACCAGCCAGGACAGGCGAATACACAGTCTTTAGGCCAGGGAACAACTCTGGTCACCCTCAAGCAAGCAGTGAATGGGACTAAAACCCTTCTCCCAATTACAACAGTGTTTTAGTGGTGGGGATAACAGAGACAGACAGACAAGACTTTAGGCCAGGTGAACAACTCTGGCTACCCTCAAGCAAGCAGCGAATGCAGCTAAAACCCTTCTCCCACTAATAGCAACACTTCTACTAAAAAGTGGTGGGGCTAGATATGTCCTAGTTATTAGCTTTTCTGACATTGACCAAAAGCTGTAGTCAGGGTTTCTTTCTCACCTGGCCCCACAGTCATTCAGCCCCAAATAAACATGCAGAGACTTACATTAATTATAAACTGTTTGGCTGGTGGCTCAGGCTTCTTACGGGCAAGCTCTCTCTTAATTATTAACCCATAACTAATGTATTTCTACTTGGTCTTACCTTACCGAAGAACATTCAGTTTCCTGTCTTCCCAACAGCTGTTCTGCGCCTCTCTGGTGGTCTCTCTCTCTCCTACCCAGAATTCGTGTCCGGTAGCCCCGCCTATACTTCCTGCCAGTACCTGCCTGACTACTGACGATCCATGTTTTACTCATCAACTAATTAAGAGAAACATACATACAGGAGGACATTCTCCCATCAAAAAGTAACTTGATGGGGAAGGGCTTGGTTTAAAAGACCATCATGGAGCTCAAGGCAATGGTGCAGAAATAACAGAGGAAAGGAGAAATCCTACTTAATTCCAGGTTCTGCAAGCCCAAGAGGTAGCGCTGGCTCACTCCCACTGAAGATGAGGCAGCTAGAGGCGCTGTGTGCCTAGCCTGGATTGGGCCCAGTCTCAGCTGTGTCTGTCCAACTCTATGGCAGGAACAAGGTGCCAATCTTGGCTGAGCTCCGGGGCCATGTGTGCTTTGAGTTGCCCCTGCCTGCTGACATTTGGGCAGGGAATGGGCCAGGGAGGAAGTTTCAGGGGCTGGGAAGGTGGCTCAGGGAGTCAAACACTTGCCTTGCCAGCATGAGGTCCCAAGTCTGATCCCAGCACCTACATGAAATTCCAGGTGGCAGGGCCTGTAATCCCAGAGTGGGAGAGGGGTCCACAGAGGCCCTCTCAAGGGACTGAGTGATACAACAGGACATCTGACATCCTCTGGGCACTGCATGTATGCATGCACATGTACAAGGTGTGCACACCCCTCTCCCAATACACATATGCCACACACACACTAACACACACTGTATTCCTGGAGTTACAGCATGCTGCTTTAATATTAGTTATACTATAACTAAATTACTTTACCCTTCTAAAATTAAAGTGGTATAGTGGCCAAGAAGACTGGAGAGGTTGGACTCTAGCCCGTACACACCTGTGTGCAACACAGATTTACAAACATCCATACAAGCTCACTTATACATACAAGCTTATACTTATGTATAAGTATAAAAAAATAATTTCAAAAAGCTCGATGTAAACTCATGAGACTGAGGCAGAGAAAGTCAAGGCCTTAAAAGTATTTGAGACCTAGGTCAAAGTTACCTTCACATCCTGTGCAAGTGAGCACACCTGTGTTTCTGAGCTTACGTCTCCTGTGGCAAGAAGGAAACCAAGGCCTTGAGCATAGTAGGCTACCACAGCTCTACCAAGGCTAGGGAACAGCCTTTGCCAATCAAAGGTGAGGAAAACCTGTTCTTCAAAGGTCAAAAACTTTTACATTCAAAAAAACTGTCTTTTTTGGGGGGGTGTTGGTGGTACACGCCTTTAATCCCAGCACTGAATGTCAGGACAGTCAAAAAATAGAGAAACCCTGTCTTGAAAAACCAAAAAAAAAAAAAAAAAAAAAAAAAAAAAGCAAAAACCCTGTACTTAGAGGCTGGATAGCTGAGTGGTTAAGTGCTGTTACAGAGAACCCAGGTTCTGCACCTCTTCTAGTGCTCTTTCCTGAGCAGCCCACACTGGCTCCCAGCCCTTTCCCAGTAGCCCTTTCTTGGGTGTCCTCCCCACTTGTCCCTTGCTTTCAAGGGTTTCCAATAGTTGTGTGGTCTATTACCTTTGAAACTTCCCTGTGGAAAATGTTTCTGCCAAAGAAGCTGGAGGGACCTCAATTTTCCCAGGTGGTTATCCAATTACCCAAACTACCAACAACCCAAGCCTCGCTGGGGCCCAGCCACCCTCGTAATCAAGTTCACTGATTGGCTGGTATGAGCACAGCTGTTGGTATGGACAAAACTGGAACCTTTGCCCTTAACCACCAGGATTCACCAACTGAGGAAGGAGACCCTGGAGAGCTTTTACTTGTATGGAGGGCACAGGCAGCCCAATGGGTAGCCCTCCCCTCCCTCAGGGGTTTGTGGCTTTCCTCGGGACACACCTTTTTGCTTATCTGAGGCAGGGGCTGTAGTGTAGCCCACACTGGTCAAGACTCCCAAGTGCTGGGGTTACAGCCTGTGACTGTCTCTCCTGAGCTATAAGTTTTCAAGGCTAACTAGCCTGCCTCACTTTTTCAGAGGAACAGATGTGTAAATTGAGTAAAGATTATAAAAGGTCAATGGTCAAGGTAAAGATTTACAACACAGTAGTTGCTGCTGTTGAATTTATTACAGGAAGTTGATTGAAAAGTGCTGTATGATACTCCCAACTGTTACTAGGTGGTAATGCAGGCGAAGTCAAGGGTTGAGGAACATTCAAGGCTTCTGCAAGCAAGGTTCAAAGAACCTTAGATGCCTTCCCTGGGGTGCAGCCAGGACATCAGGTCCCTAAGTAGATGACATTCCTCCCCAACTTCACAGCCAAGTACACACTTTGGGCTGGCTAGGCAGACTGATGCTGTGGACAGAAGGTGTGGCCTCATCCCATCCACCTTTTTCTTCTCTGCTGTGTTGTGGATTGGACTTACTGCTATGACTACAGCAGACTGTGCAGGAAGTGTGCCCCTTCTTTAAGGGACATTTGCAAACATTCCCTAATGCCCAATTATTTCAAGATAGTTTATTTTCAAAATGGGTCACAACATTGGCTTTTGGCCCATTCTGCCAAATGTACAAGCTACAAATGCTTGCTCAGCAGCTAAGGGGCACATGGTTAGTCTGTCTGAAAAGTGATAAAAATCCATATAAAACAAATATTCAAAGTTTCCATAGGAACACAGGTAAGTGTGACCCATCTCCTAGCCTTCCATACTGCATCTGTGCCAACCCCTACTCTTACAAAGACATTCCAAAACTAGCAGTAATTAAGTTAAATGGTCCCCCCAAATCCCTTAATTTAAGCTAAACTTGCAGGTAAGAGCTACAAGAATGTTATCTACACATTGATACTAGCAGAAGCACAGGCTGCTGGGTGACGGTCCATCCCGCTCTCCTGGGCACACGACATGGGCAGAGTGTTAACATCCTGCTCCTCCACTTCTGGTGGGAAGCCATGGCTCTGGATCTGCTTCATGAGCTGCCTGAAAACAAAGCAGTGGCACAGTCAAAGCTCAAGTTCTGAACAGGCCCTTTCACTACACCACCAGGGAGCAACTCAATGTACAATTTCACTAATACAGGGAATTATGGGTGACATATGCTAATTTGAATGCTCTAGTTACAATGTTCTAGTTGCAAAGGAATCTAACTGCTTTCATAGTTCTAAGAACTTTCGTAGGGAAAACCTGAAGATCAGTATTACAGAATTCCCTTCCATTTGCCTGTATTTAACTCGAAACAGTTTCTTATCCATTAGAAAAAAAAAACCAAGCTCAAAGCTGGGCGGTGGTGGTACACGCCTTTAATCCCAGCACTTGGGAGGCAAAGGCAGGAGGTCCTCCAACCTGGTCTAAAAAAGAGCTAGTTCCAAGACAGGCTCCAAAGCCAGAGAACCCCTGTTTCACAAAAACAAAACAAAAAACCCAAGCTCAAATCCAAGGTGCCTTTTTGGGGAGACAGGCCAGCTTCAAGCAAGTTATAGTCAAGGCCAATCTTCCTTTTCCTTCAGCCTACCTATCATGCTGTCTTTCAAACTCAATGTGTGTTTCTATGAACCAGGGACAGAATCCAAGGCTCTGGCTCATGGTAGGCAAATGTTGCATCGATGCTTAGGAGAAACACAAACATGCACAATCTCACTCACCACATTGGCCTGGACATCACATAGTAGATAGAAGGCCTCTGGAACCCGTTGAAAGTAGACGCAGCAGCAACAGTGTATGCACCCATGTTCTCAAAGAGCATCCAATCACCCACATGCATTTCAGGCAGATTACAGCGCTCGACGATCCGGTCAAGGCCATCACACGTTGGTCCCCAGATGCTGGATGAGTAATACTTCTCATCTGGCTTGGGTCTCTGCATGAAGATATACATTGCTCGTTCCTTAATATATCCCTGAATCCTGTCCACCATTCCCATTGCTATGGGAGAGCAGGCTCAGAACTTACTTTGGGCAGCAGGGGCTTCACATGCGCATGATCATAAAGAATGCAGTTAAATGAACCATATACTCCGTCATTCACGTAATACATGAATGTTTGCTCACTGGACTCATCTTCATCTAGAAAGACAGACTAGCCTTAATCACTACCCATCGATAATTTCCAGTTAACCTTCATGACTCATCCCCACCACCACGTACCATCAGAGCCTGTCTGTTCCTTCCATACGATTTTTTTGGCAATGATATTCACTGCCAGTGTAAATGCTGAGGCGACATAGTATCTGCCTGGCTCGGCTATAACTCTCACTCCAGAGTCTGGCGGGAAGTACTTGTCCAGAGCTGGGTTGATAACACTGGTGATCTAAGAGGGAAAGATGGGAGTGGCCACTCATTACACAGTTCATACAGAGCAGAAAGATCACATTGCTGTGTTGAAGGACAGGACATAACATGAGCCTGGGAGCTGGCACCAGCAGGTCTGTCATCAATAAGGTAACATCTTATCTCCATGGAAACCAGTATACTCACTTCATTTCTCATTCTCCTTTCAGGACCTGTCTATCTTTAAGAGACACTATGGATATTGTTTTATTAAACAATAGCACAAAATAGAAGCCAAGTGCCAGAATAATTCTGTTTTGCAAATAGATGCCAATAAGATAAAATCCTTTCCACTCTAACAATTGTACAAGCAGTAACACAAGCACCAGACAATGGTTTCATTTCCTGAGAGACTGAACATTAAAAATAAATGGGAGCCAGGGATGATGGCACAAGCTGAAGCAGGAGGATTCCAAATTCAGGGTCAGCCTGATTAAAAAATGAGACCCTATCTCAAAATAAAAATAACACAGTGGAAACACAACAGGTCATTTACTTTCATGTCTGTTTGGCCTCTTTTGTTATCAGTAAAAACATTTAGATTTTATATACCACACCAAAATGTAACTTGCAAATTATATATAAAAGAGCCCCTATAGGTCACTGATGCTGTAAATTACCTCTTCAAATTTAAGCTTCGTATCCTCAGATCCAGGAAAGCCACCACCAATATCAAGCAGATACATGCTGAAACCAACTTCAGTCTAGAGCCAAGAAAATTCAGAAGTCAGATTGCCAGATTCATTTTAAAAAATGCACACAGCAGATGGTTTAAATCTGTTATACAGAAAAGGTGTCTATGAAAGACTCATTCTAGACTCAGACTGGTTATTTCAGACAACCCCTCCAATGAGTCACACGTACTCACCCCCATGTCAAAGACACAGCGGGCATCTGATAGGGCCTGAACGAAGGTCTCAGGGTCAGTGCACCCGCTCCCCACATGGAAGCTGACACCAATGACATCAATATTCAGCTCTTTTGCCCGTTCCAAAAGAAGCCTGCTGGTTCTGAGTGTGGCACCAAACTTAACACTGAGGCGACAAACTGCTTTGGAATCGTCAGTAGCAATCCGCAAAACCAACCTGGACAGAAGAAATACATCAAGTAAATACTCCATCTACACCAGAGAGCCCTGTCTTGAGTATGGAGCAAGCGTCTAACCCAGGGTTTAGCCTCCTCATTTACCATGTGTAGGAAAACAAAATGGGGATTTAGTTTGCTCTCAAAGGACTCACTTGGCCTTTGGATGTGCTCTGGCGACCTTCATCAACTCAACCTCACTGTCAAAAGTCATCATCTGGACTCCATTACTGGCAGCATACTTGATCTGAGACACTTGTTTACAAGGATTTGCATAGATGATCCTCTCAGGAGGTACCCCGAGCCCTTGTACCAACTGTATTTCAGTCTGAAAGAAAGAGAAGGTGGGTGTTGGGTTATATATCGACTGGATAGTCCCATGAACAAAGAACACAAGATGTCGTGTGCACTCCAACCCTTCAACCCAAGACACACAACTGGTGCCTGCCCTGGGGTAACAGCAGGCTTACTTTGCTTGCACAGTCAAAACCCGTCCCAATGGCGGCTAGGGTGTTCACTATGGCTCTGCTGTCATTACTTTTGACGGCATAAAAGGGAGTGACACGGGGGAGAGCTTTTAGCCATCTTAGGTGTTTCTTCAGAATGTCTCCAAGGTCCGCGACATAAAAAGCATCCTTATCATCCTAGAATGAGATGGGGTTCAGGGGCCTAGTTAGCAGTCCTGCAGTATGCCACACTGAAAACCCCCTCCTTCCCTCCCTTCATCCAATCCTATTCCCACTAGCAGTCACTGACACAGCATGGCCACCAAGGGACAATCCACAGCCAATTTAAACTCTAGATTCTGACAAGACAGGAAGACACGGTCACTCCTGCTGTACTGGGAACTCAGCCTAGCTGTGGACGTAGGCTTCCCATACTTACAGAGGAATAGACTTCATTAATTTTTTGGTCCAGAATGTCCTTGGCAGTAAAGCCTTCATCAAGGATATGGCAGTCAAACTCTTCCTTATTGAAGCTATTCATGGCTCTCGATGTGTCTCTGAAATAGAGGAAGCTGCAAGTGAGGGCAAATTCACTCAGCCTTAGCAATGATTCTCAACACCAACCCACAAGTGTAAACTGAATACTTACACAAAAAAACCTAGAGATGGGATTCAGTTATTGTCAGCTCCTCCCAAGGCACACTATCCAGGGACTCTGAACTGTCTCCTTGGAGCAGTGGAAGAGTTCTGATGGACACAAACACACCATATGCTGCTATTTATCTCCCTTGGAAATCTTACCATTAAAGGTTACACGCTGCAACCGCATACCACAGTAAACGGGTAGAATAAAGGCCCCAGGACAGAAAGGTCAATGGTGGGGTGGGTGGGTGTGAATTCCAGTGCCCAGGTGAGCCTAACAACCCCCAAACCTCCACAGTACCCTAATATATCAGGTTCCACACACTGTACACCACAGTTCTGCTCCACACACGTGTGACATCTCAATCCCTAGCCCTCGAGAACAGCATTTGGACTTCAGAAAGGTCATATGCACACACAGTCCACTGTCTGCTGGCTAGCATTATCAGTATTATGTGTTCCTCCTATTTCTGAGCTACTCTAGCTCCTCAGAAATTTCAAAGGGCAATATGTAAGCATCTTACCTCTTCCCACTTGGACTAAGTTATGCTTAATGATTTTTAATGAATAATTCAAAAATTTCCATATGGAAGCTTTCATGCCATATTGGCATTAAGAAATAAAAAGAAAACCTTCAAATCAACACAATATACTGTTACAGTTACCATATCAGAAACTGGTATTGTAGAGGCTGTTTGTTGCCTGCCTACCAAATGAGCACTTCTGCGAATCCTACTGTCCTCAAATGTCTTCTGCTTGGTTGTGGGCAATAACCATATGGTAGGATTTTTGGCTAACTTTAACCAGCCAGTAGCTAGGTAAAGGTTCCTTTTTCTCCTGTGTGACTCCCTTCAGTGCCAGCAGCCCACAGGCAGAGGCCAGGCAATGGTTAGGAGCCAGTTTGCTCTAGCATGGGACACTATGAGAGGCCCATGGTGACAAACCTGCCATAAATCCAAATCCATGCGGGGTAAAACACACCTTTTTTTTTTTTTTTTTAAGACAGGGTTTCTCTGTGTATCTCTGGCTGTTCTGGCACTCACCCTGTAGACCAGGCTGGCCTGGAAACTCAAGAGATCCACCTGGCTCTGTCTCCCCCACTGTCCGGCTGGTAAAACACACTTTAATCCTCCACTTAATGAGACTACTTGGCGCTGTCAACTCCATTAGTTGCCTAAACCATTCCTAAGTGAAGGCTAGAGAGCTGTGGCAGCCAGCTCCTGTCTATGTGTATACCATTTACAACTGAGAGTCACTCTAATTTTAGGTCTTAAGTATTTTCCAGGCAGCCTTCAGGCTCAAACCTGGAAATCTTTGAGCTATCAACCACTTACTTTTGCTTTTCTGTTATCTCTTAACGCTTTACTTTAATAAAATCCAAAAACCCTGAAAAATGTTCCTAACACCTTTTGGACGCGGAGTAGCTAAATCGTGTAACAGGCTCAATTAGCACAAGAGGGTAACTCTAGAAGACACACAAGAAAATTAAGACAAGATTAATTCCATTAGGCAAATTCTGCCCGATTCTTGGACTTGAATAAAACAAGCCACTGCATTCTTTGTCCTCTCCCAGACATCCCTGACAGGCTCTGCCCCCCACACTTTTACAAGCAGTTATTGGGGATTCCGAGCCGGGCTGCTAAGCGCGCACGCCGGACAGCCGGGTTTCTCCTAAACCATTAAGTCATTCCAGGAGTGCTAATTCCAAGTCACAGCCGGTGGGTATCCATCAGCCGCGACTCCCGAACTAAATTTAGGTCTAGCAACTTGTACATCGGGTCACCGGCTCTGCTTGTACACGTAGCGAAACCAAAGGAAGCGGCAGGGAGCTGCAGGGCGGCTGCGCTCCCCTGCCCTGCACCTGCCGCGGACTCGCGCCGCATCCTCGCGCCGACCGGCGGAGCACCGAGCCGGGCCGACGCCGTGACCTCCCGTGGGCGACGCCAGGGCTTGCGGCCCCGGCCAGGAGAGGCCGCCTTCCTTCCGGGCGGCGGCGGCTCGCAAGGTCACCGGCCCCGGGGCCACGTGTCCCCTGCGGGCGGCCGCGGCCTCGCGACACGTGGCCGCAGCACATCCCTCCCGCGCCCAACTCACCTCACAGCGCACGGACGCCGCTGGCCGGTCCCATGGGGACGCCGCCGCCGCCGCCGCCGCCGAACCCCGAGGAGCGCCGGGCCGCCCGCGGCCGCCCCGTCAGCCGCCTCGTAGAGCCCGCCGCAGACGCCGGCCCGAGGTGGCGCCGAGCCGCTGGCTGAGGGCTGGCGGACGGCGGCGGCCGCTGCAGGGACTGACAAAGCCCGACGGCGCGGCGCGCCGCTACTTATACGCTGAGCGCGTCGTCATGGAGACGCACCAGCTCAAACCAGCCGCGATCGGTTCCGGCCGGGAGGCGCGGGGGAGGGGCGGGAGCTCCGCGGCGGCCAACCCCGGGCCAGGCGCCGGGGGGCGGGAGGGGCGCGGGCAGCGCGCGTCAGTGTGGGGCGGGGCGCAGAGCGGCGCGTGCCCGCCCTCCCCTCTCCCCTTCCCGCGCCCGATCCTTCCCCCCCACCCCGGACCTCCGCTCGCCCCCGCGCGCGCGCGCGTCCCGCCCCGCCCCGCCCCGCCCGGCCTCGTGCCGGACACGCCCTGCGGCAGGCCCGCGCACGCGCAGCAAGCCACCAAGCCCTGCCACCCCCCCCCCCACACCCCCCACCCCACCCCCGGCGCGCCGCAGCGCCCTATGGGCAGCGGGCGGGGGCCTGTGGACTCCTGCGCGCACGCGCCTGCTCGCGCCCCCCTCCCCAATCCCCCCTCTGCACGCTTCCTCCAAAGGCGCAACCCAGGCTTGGAAGAGTAGCAAAGTTTATTTCGGGGTTTGCATTCTGCATGTGGTACTCCCTAGAGGGACAGGCGACCTCTCATATGGCTAGCCGGGCAGTGAGTCTGGTGCAGGCCACGTAGACAACGTGGCGCGCAGACTGACCGTTTCCCGCCGCACACGCCTGTGCGTGGAGCTTGCTGAGCGACCTCAGCACGCTAGCAGCTTTGTTGGCATCTTCCAACTAGATGGTAGGCACCAGTTGCATGCTAAAATACGCCTTCTATCTAAGCACGATAGAAAGCGTGTGAGGATCGAGGTTCTGAGCCACCCACCGCCCCCTTTTATTCTGTTGGATGGAGTTAAACCAGTAGTCTCCCGAGTTAGCTACAACTAACGCACTTTGGGAAGTCTCGACAATGAATTTGTATCTCCTTCCCGCTCCCCAAAGTCACATTGATAGGGAACAAGTGGGACTGATGGGCTACTTGTTTGTGCAGTATTGTAAAACAACTAGTACTCCACATTGTTACTATGTATACGCTGTTAATGATTGGTTTGTTCTCAGTTAAAACCCCTCTCCCAGAACAGATACCAAAGAGATACTGATAACAACTCACTTGAAGAAACAAAGCAACAAACAAATAAATAGCTTGACTTAACTTTTTCTGGGGCCTGAGCAGGGCGTGGTAACAAACACCTTTAATCCTAGCACTCAGGAGCAATTCTAAATAAACAGCTTAACTTAGTTTTTTCTAGGGCCTGAGAAGGACCTGGTGATCCGGCCTTTATGCCTTGGCACGCAGAGGGAGGCAGATGTCTGTAAGGGTTTTTGTTTTTGTTTTTGAGGTGGGGGTTTTCTCTGTGTAACATTGGCTGTCCTGGAACTCTGTAGACCAAGCTGGCCTTGAACTTAGAGATCCACCTGCCTCTGCCTCCTGGGTGCCGCCACTGCCTGGCTGGATCTCTGAAAGTTTGAGACCAACCTAATCTGCAAAGAGTTCCACATCCACTAAGGGCTACATAGTAAGACCCTATCTTAAAAAAAAAAAAAAAAAAAAAGCCACTGGCTTTTCTGTAGAGGAATCCATGATCTATCTCTGCTCCCAAGTTGTTGTGCAGTTTTGTGCAAGTCCCCTGCTTCTTGGTCTCATACACCCACAAAGTCCTGGGAGGAAACTCTGGACATTCACTTCCAGACACCATGAATATCTATTAAATGAGTGCATGAATGTTTGAAAGAATGATCTACTTCTCCCTGAAGTGTGCCTTCTGCAGAAACAAGAGCCACAAAAGTATCACACAAGATGTATGCACAATGACATGATGGACATTATACTCTTCTCTTGGGCACATTGCTTTACTTTATTTTTATATAATTCCGGAGCAGTCACTGAATGCCAAGAAGAGCAGGAGACGGGTGTGGGACCCCCTCTCTTAACTTCTCTTTTCTCCCCCAAGGATAAGATGAACTCTTGGAACCCATCAGAGAACATACAGCCCGAAGCACTTGGGGAGGCATCTGTCTGTGATGAGAGGTCCTCACTGTGCTTTAGATTTGGAACCCTTAACTGGAAGGGGGACAGTGGGTCTTCATCCAGGACGCAGGAGACCATGCCATCCCATGTGAGCTACTACTGCCCTTATCACAACTACCTGTGCCACATCCCACCCAGACATTCCAACTGCTGCCCAAGTGCTGTGTTTTCCCCCCCAGGGAGGTGATGCAGCTGACTGTCAGGGTGGGGACAGAAGGTAGGGAAGGAGGGGCCCACTTCCTGGGGTACTGGCCCTGCTGGCTGGTGGACAGGCTCCAGCTAGGAGAGGCCCCCAAAGCCGGTCTGAAGGGAGCTGTGCTTGAGTCATAATACTCAGCTACTAACCTGCATTCAAGTAGATAGGCCAGTGGTGACTAAACCCATTCTTAGTCAAGCAAGTGAGTGGCATTACTTTCGTCAATGTGTTTTTATCCGGCTCCTCCCTTCCCTCCCCATTTTCCTTAAAAGAGAATCAACAAAATCTAGGCTACCCGCTCAACACAAGCGTGCTCTCGTCCCCTTTCTCCTGGGGGCATTTGAGGTCCTGAGTTCCACTGTCATTGCTCCCCAAAATAAAGTGAGGAGACCTTATGAAACAGTCAGTGCCCGATGCCTGGCTGTTACCCTGACATTGGAGTGAGCTGTTGTGCTTGGTCCCTGCAGAGGTACTGAAGAATGAATAAGCATGTTCCCAGGTACTGTCCTATATTCTGTGCTGTCTCTGACTTTCTTAGGCATCCTCAGTGCTGCCCATGATGAAGCCCCTGGACCTCACTCCCCTCCTTGAGAGTGCAAGCTCAGTGTCTACAAGTGTGGACAGTTGAGCCAAATGAGAACTTGGGCCCATATGCACTAAAGTTCTAAGAACCCTAACTTTATTTTTCCTTTTTCTTTTTAGTTTTTCTAGAAGGTTTCTCTCTGTAGTTCTGGCTGTCCTGGAACTCACTCTGTAGATCAGGTTGGCCTCAAACTCAGAGATCCACCTGCCTCTGCCTCCAAAACCCCAGAGAAACCTTGTCTCGAAAAACCAAATTAGAAGAAGGAGGAGGAGGAGAAGGAGGAGGAGGAGAATAAGAATAAGAATTTGTATCCATGGCCATATTCTGCCTTGCTGAATTTTGCCTCCTCAAAAAAGTGCAGACTGAAGTGAGGCTCTTGATATTAGGCCACAGAAAGAAATGAGGGAGGAGCCGGATAAAAACACATAAAGGTGCAGAATTCACAATACCTGGGCAATGGGGACCAGTCACTGGACAATCAAATCATATCTGGCTATTTGACCAAAAGTAGTGTTCTGCTGCTATTACTCACTGATGCTAGACTTGCCCTAGAATTGTGTTGAGTTACTTCCTCCAAGGCAGAGAGTGTGCCGCCTCTGCTGAAAATCCAAATGATGTGCCTGAGGCAGAGAAGGCAGCTTCCAGGGAGTCCCTCCTTCCTCTGAGCAATGGTGGCATCATCAGGGATGATGGCACTCCTCCAGAAGAGCTCTGCTAAGCATCAGACAGCTATGTTTGTGTGGAAGTCTCAGGGTATTTTTATTATAAAGAGTAAAGTTACAAACAGGCCCCACCTTGCCAGGCCCTGGTAGAGCTTCCTGGAAAGGGACCGGACAGCAAGCCCAGTAGTGAA